ATCAAAAAATCATTAAAGAAAAAAAAAACTTAAGAGAGAGAAAATCAAAGTAAATCGAGAATGAATCTTGGAAGACAAGAAATCAAACTCGCCGACACCGGTCAATATTGACTGACATCGTAGAACCTAACAGCAGAGCGGGGACAAGGAAAATTCTCCGGCGGCGGGGCTTCGCCGGAAGAGTGCATGTGGTTCTCGACCACACGGAAGTTGACGCAAACGCGGTCAGTATCGCGTGGGGAGATGGATCCGACGACAACCGCTGCTCTAGAAACAGCGATTCCGACCAACTCGTGAATCTCCGGGGGACTCAGTGGCCAATCTGCGATTCCGCCGGCGATGGTGTGACGTAATCTTTCTGGCCTCAAGAATTGGAGGTAATCGAAGGAGATTGAGTAACGCTTCAGTTCACTCTCGACTTGCTGGACAAACTCTTGCACGGAGGTATTGGGGCGTGCAATCCAATCGCTGCGAACGCATTCGAATGTGAGTCTGATGTTGACGGTGAAAACATGGGGGGACGACGGCGGCGAGGAGGTGGCGGCGCGTGGGATTGTTTTTGTCTCGCGCATAAGCATGATCAATGATTTGTTGCAGGTGTTTACGGGATATGCCATTTTCAAAGATCGGAGCAAGTTTTTTAGAGAGAGAAAATTGAAGATGAATTATATTAAAGAAAATCTTCAGAGCAAAGTGATGATGGAGAGTACGTAGAAATTAATATTATTAGGATTTTTTATTTAATTTTTTTTCATTTTTTTTTTAGTTTTTTTATTAATTGTTCAGTTGGTGAATTTAGTTATAATAACTGTGACAGCTACAACAAGAATTCAATAAAGTATTTGTTATTTTGCTGTATAAATAGTATATAATATCAAGATTAGGGTTTTAGCTAACTAATTCTACCAATTAATAAAGTCAGCTTAAATGAGTAACAATTTTCTAATTATAAACATAATAACTTCTTACAATTTATTTTTATCCAAACAAAAAAAAAAGCGAAGTAAGAAAAGTTCAAGCAAATAAATAATTATTAAAAGTTGATTTTATTATTTTAATTAATTTGAGAAAAGAGCAGAATCTTATTTTTTTTCCAACATAAAAAAATGTTAGTTTTACGCAAAATTCTTTTATTTAGCTAGCTTGATTGATTTGTTTATTAATCTAAAACACTATTATTTACTAACTTATTGTTGCGTGCTTTATAACACTTGTTGCTCATCCAGGGGCCTCCCGGTTATCGATGGAGCAACGAGACTAACGACATTTGGAGGACCGTGACACCGATAACGTGCAACGACCACAATGCGACACTTGGCAGACACTCGCTTCAATCAAATTCTGCTCAAGGGATGGAGGGCGACAGACTAAAGCCTCGTTTGGTTTGGGGATTCGACATGATTAACTAAAAAAAATTCAACAATATATAGATACTTGATTAAATAACAACCAAACTTCAAACACAAAAATAAATAATTAGATGACTAAAATAAATAATTTTATTTATTTTGCTTTTTTGTTTTTCTTTTCTACATGATTAGAAAGACGTTCGGTTCACTGGATTAGACAACCAAAATCAAATAAAATATATTTTTTTTTTGTGTGTTTTTTTTCTTCTACTAATACCTAAAAGGCTAAAAGGGTAATAAGGCACCACACCGTACGTCCATAATAGCTAGATACGATGTGAACAAGGCGGCAATGACTCCTGGCAAATAAAGCTGTGGTCGCAGGAATACGGTAACGCCGACGTATTCTCCGGCGCTTTGCCGTAAACATGCCTGTGAGTCTCCACGACACGGAAGTTAAAGTCGACGTCGTAAATACAGTTTGTGTACATGGGCTCAACGATACCCCATGCTCGAGAAAGTACGATTTCGGTCAACTCGCGGCGCTCTTTGGTGGTCAGGGGCCAGTCTTTGAATTCGCCGGCGATGAACTGACGCGCCTTTCCCGCGTCGTCGAATAACTGGCGGCAGTCGACGGAGATGGATTTCTTCGCCCGAGGAAGATCGACTTGCCGGAGAAAATCGGGAACCGAGCATGGGGGATGGAGAATCCAATCGTGGAAAGAAGATGCGAATGTGAAATTGAAGTTGACGGCCATGATTTGTGATGATGGCGAGCGCCTTGGGATTTTCTCGAACCGGCGCATAACTAAGTACAATGATTTTTTGCAGGAATATTCCATGTCTAGAGAGAGAGAGAGAGGTCTAGAGAGAGAAAGTAGTGAAGAGACGAAGGTAGGGGAGAGTAGTATTTATAAGATTAATTAATTAATCCTTAGTTTAGTAGAATCATAATCCTTCTTCATCTAATTTAGGGTTTTTTTTTTTTTTTTGAGTAACATCTGATTTAGGGTTTTTTTTTTTGAGTAACATATAATTTAGGGTTTAATTCTTCCTTTTTTTTAACTAGTTAACCGCGTGTAATTTAGGAAAATATTTAATAATTTTAAATACTAAATATATAATATTTTTAATATTATAAATACATAGTTTGGAAAATAAATATTTTAAATACATTTTTATGTTAAATATTTGAAAATTTCATGTATACTGATAACTGATGTAATTTAATTTTTTGAATCCAAATTTAGAAAATCAAAACGAGAAAAACATTGTTCTAAAATAAAAAACGACGAAAAACGAAAATCCATTTGGACTTTCAACCTAAGTATAATTTTTATTTTTATTTATATTACGCCTCTTTTCGGGGCAGAATAATTGCCGGCAATCGACGGTGATAGACGACTTCGCATGAAACGGAGTATTTCATGTCGAAAGATTATATTTCAAGAAGAAGATGAAGTTGACGAACTCCTTAATTCGACAAAATTGGCTCGATCAAACAAAAACGATTTGTGAATACAATTTCGACAATAACGATTTAGTAACGGAAAAAGTTCGTATTAACGTGATCAAATTCATACATGCATGAACACAAGTTGAAGAAATAAGCATCACCACAAACTTGCATGAATATAGAAATTCAACCGAACAATACCTAAAATAATTGGTTCCAATGAAACCCTAAATCAAGAATATCTAATCAAAATCATTAAAGAAAAAAAAACATAGAAAATCGAGAATGAATCTTGGAAGACAAGCAATCAAACTCGACGAGGCCCGACGCCAACGACGACGAACGCCGGTCATTATTGATTGATAATGTGCCGGTGGAACATAATAACAGCAGAGGGGGGGCAACGCAAATTCTGGTAAACGGAGCCCGGAAGCGCCGACGCCGTCGCCGGCGGCGGATCTTGGTCGGAAGTGTGGCGGTGGTTCTCGACGAGACGGAAGTTGATGTGAACGTGCTCAGTATGGAGTGGGAGGAGGGATCCGACGACGATGGATGATTCTGCCGCCATGATTACGGCCAACTGGTGACGCTCCTCGGGAGTCAGTGGCCAAGCGGCCATTTGGGCGGCGATGGTGCCACGTAATCTTTCTAGGTTCATGAATTGGTGGTGGTTGAAGGAGAGTGAGTTCTCGATGAGGCCGCTGTCGACTCGGTCGATGAACTCGGGCACCAAGCAAGGGGGGCGAGTAACCCAGTTGTAGCGGACCGATTTGAAAACGAGTTTGATGTGGACGGTGATAAAATGGTGGAACGATGGCAGCGGGTCGGCGCGTGGGGTTCTTTCGGTGCCGTGCATAAGCATGATCAATGATTTGTCGCAGGTGTTGACGGGATATGCCATTGTCATGACCCACGACGGTGACGGAGGCGGCAACAACGGTGGCGACGGTGGTGAGTTGAAGAACGGCAATAATTTTGGAAGTGAAGTGGGATTGAGTTTTGCAGCTGGGCCGAATGCAAGTGGGCCGAAATTTATTAATGAGCCGGGCCCAAGTGAAATTGAAGATTGGAAGAAATTAATTAAATATCTTAATTGTTATTTTCAGATTTTAATTATTTTTTGAGATTTTTGTTATAAGGTGTTGGACGAGTTGAATGAAAGGCATTAAGCCAATTTTCAGAATCTCTCTCTTATCT